CAGCATAGTCATGGAGATATTTTTTTGCTTTGCAGACAGCTTCCAACTCACTGGGACTTTGCCTTTCTGTTCTGCTTGGCAGAAGCAGAGCAGAAAAGGTCTTAGGAAAAAATCTGATTATTGCTGTGCTTCAGAGCTGTGTGGCAGGTTGCTCATGATGGGAGATAAGCAGTCCCGTGACACACAGGGTGCAGAGAGCTGGGACTCACTGAGATGGGAGCTGGTGGGACCACTGAGTTGGGAAATGTTTGAACCTGTTCATACACGCAGTAAAGTGTGCTGATAATAAAGTTTAAAGGGAGCGCTAGACTGTGAATCTGCTGTCTTGAGCCTGCTCCATCAGCTGTGAAACAGCAATGAAGGGAGCTGAGACAGTATTTGAATGACCTGGATGATGGCAAAGTCACTTTAGACTATATGGAAAAAGGGGGAGTCATTTATAAATCTCCACTAGTCTCTGAAATAAATACTTGACAGAAAAAGTAGCTGTTCAATAATAGCTATTACCCTAGCTCCAGTTTCTTCTGTTGCACTAAAAAAACCCAACAAAATGGGTTTCATATGTTGCCAATGTAATATACTGACCCAGAGCTTCTTAATGTTTCATTTCTGAGAATTCTTGTTTTTAATGTGTGCCAGATGTCTTCTTGTTTGATTTTTATTTGATTCTAGTCAAATTCTAGTCACTGTGTTGTGAATGTGTTTTTCTGAAGCAATTTATACTGTGTACTTATGTCTGTGGTGGCTACTTGCAAGGTTGCATTTAAAATGGGTGATGCTTAAGAAGGCTTCTTTCCAGATTAAAACATTGTCCTTTTTTCTAACTCTTTCATTTTCATTGTCTCCCCCACAGAAATTCTCCTCTTATGACAAAACAAATTTCATATAGACAGATGAAGCTTTCTTTGATAAATGACAGCTGAATGAAACCTTCTATCCCTACTCCCTTTTATCCCACACAGAAGCATCGGTACAAACTCTGTTGAAATAAGCAGCTTTGTCTTTTGCTTTCTACCACCTATGCTAACAGTGTCACACAGTGGCAAGTGTCCCAGTAGCTGTGACAAATCACTTCTCTAGCACAATACTGTGGTTGTATCAATTATAACTACTGGCAATACAAAGCAAGAGACTGGAAAAATCTCTAGTAGCAGCATACCCATAGCATTGTACTCGTAGCTGCAGTGCTTAAGTACAGTGTAAAGTGTAAGGTTGACAGTTAAGGCATCTAGTATTTGTGGTGGTGGATTGATTACAGGTTTTTGTTAAATTATACCCTTTAACTTTTATCAGCAGCAAAAAGCAGGATGCTACTTTGTACATTTCTTTCACCAAAACTTAGGTACTGTTAAATGAATGTATAAATTTAGTATTTCAAAGTTGTCTGATTCAAAGTCCATCAAAATGAGAGGAAAAAAAATCTTAATTCACTTCAATGGACTGTGAGTCAGCTCCTTTTAAAAATTGCTAATGTGGAAACTGTTACATCCTTATTAAAATATTTCATGAAAAGCTTTAACAATTGTACAGTTTCTTTTCTTTTACTTCCTAGTGGACACAATTTAAAGAAAACTTGCAAATATTAAATTTTGTCATGTTTTACATGTACATATGGGGAAATGAGGATAAAATTGTTTTATAAGCTCAATTAAATTTTCACAGAAATCAAATGTCTGTCAAAACAGTAAAATGCCCCATGATATCCGTGATGCTATTTCCAGGACTTCACTTAAATTCTCACTCACAATATCTTGAAGATGACGTAAATCTCATAATCTTATGTGGTCCTTTTCACCCAGACATATTCTGATGTATGGTCAGATTAAACAGAGAGTCAGCCTACTTTTTACTGTTGAATTTGCTTAATATCAGACACGATGAAGCAAGAGTGAAAAATCATAGAGATTCATACTGCGTACTCAGCTTTGATTTTCATCAAAGTTGAACTGGGTTTTGTTCTTTCTTTTTTTTTTTGTCTCTTTGCCTTGCAAAGGTTGCGATGGAAGCCTGCACACCTACCAGCGTATGCACTTTAGTTTCAGTTCTCCCAGGCACATCGCAGAGGTTGGGTCGGGCCTTCAGTAGATGGCAGGCTTGCCTTCAGATGGATGGGCTGATTCACTCCCAGCCAGCACTGCCCCGTGATTCCCGGCTCTGTGTGGTTTCAGCTGGAAACAAAATCTGTTTATCACAACCTAACAGTTGTTCCTGCTATTTTTCACTCTGGGAGCGGTGATCAACAGCAGTAAATCATTTGGTTTAGCTAAAAAGAAAGTTAGTTAATTCATTCTGTGTTACTATTCTAAATACTGGAACATAACCACCAGAAAGATAAAAAATTATTCTCATGAAATAATATGTACCAGAAAATAAACAGAACTCTTTTTAATGCTTTCCAAATGGCAAATAAGAGTATTCAGATTTCATATGGAAATTATTTTAACTAATGCTTATTTCATGAAAAAAAAATAGTACAGTGGTTTATTTCTGGGTGACATTTTGACTCTTTTATACAGCTGCAAGTGGGTGAATTTTTATTTGTAACCAGTAGTAATTTTTTTGCTATTTTCCCATGAGTTTTGGTTTATATTTTAAAAATACTGCATTCACTTTGTCATGGTTATTGGCCTTGTGGCCAATAACTGAAAGACAGGCAACCTTTGCACTTTGCCTGAGACCTAAACCCAGCAGTGGGACAGCACCAAGCCATATCCAGTCAATGGACTGGACAGTTTCCTGTGGCACATATTCCAGAGAACATGGAAACTCACATGGAACACATGGAACTCACATCACGTGGGCAGCACACATCAGCTGCAGCATCTTCCCACTCAAAGAAAGGTGCAGAGGAAATTCCTTTCCTTTCTCACCAAGCTTCCCAGCGCAGTAGCAAACACAACATGACTCAGAGTCCTGAGGCTGGCTGCTACCTGCAGTTAGTACACTTGAACAAGACTGGTCACAGAGGCAGTTCATATCTGAACAGTGGATGAAAAAGGTGATGGCTGCATGCAGATATTCTGCCTCTTCAGATGGTCCCTACAGCAGAGAACATTACACAGAGTGTGGTTTCTTTGCATTCAACTCTTAAAGAACACAGTTGATATCTTCACAGAGAATGAGAATCAGTTTTCTGAATGTGATGTAAGAATTTCTGAAATGCCAGCTTTCCAGAGAATCAGAATCTTAAAACAGGCTTTCTGGTTGTTTCTGGAAATCTAGAAATCTGCATTTCTAATATATATGGCATGCTCTACTAACACTGACTATTTGCTGTATTTTAACCTGTTACCAAAATCAGCATCCTAATTCTAAATATGAAACTAAGTCTTACTGAAATAAAATAACCCAGTGATGTCATACATTCATGTTATGTAAGGTTTGACTTTGCCATATTTCTAGAGCAATGACAATTTAATGTCTTATAATCCTGATTTAAAAAAAGATCCAAGAACAATAATTTCAAAAAATCAGAATAAATTACCCAAGAAAGAAATATCAATCCAGTGTTCTAAACACTGCGATTTTAGTTCCTAGGAACCTTAATTGACACCAGGGCTCTACAGACAAGAATGGGAATTATGAATCTCCAGAGGAGAATAAAATATTTCAACTGAATTGTGTATTTAGCATTTACATCCTCTTCAATGTAGCCTTATTTGGCTGATAACTTTAGGCTAAGCCACAGGAAGAAAGGATGGATTACTAATTAGATTTCTCTTTAAGAAAAATGCTTTTAGATATTACATTTTATGGAGAGAAATGGCTGAGAAAAATAGGTGAAACTGAGAGTATTTCAAAGTATATCATTAGATGGCTACAAACCAAGCAAAATTTTGACAAGACAGATGCTTTTCAATAAAAGCTAAGCATGCCCACTCCCTTCGAACTTTTTTCCTCCAAAAGCATAAAATCTGCATTTGGCAGAGCAATAAGCAGCTATGAAGCAGAGATAGAAAGGTGCTGTATCCCGCCTGAGGTATATAGGTTTTTGTATCCAGTCTGGATGGAATACATTTGTCATTATGAGATTATCGTGTCTATGATGGGTAGAGTCATCTTGGAAACTATATAAAGGTACAGAAAATTCCTTCTGCTCTCCATTCCCCCCCACCCCCAAATGTCTTTTCTTTCATGTTCTTACACTGTGTCTAAAGGCTGCTCTGTGGGTTCTTGAGCTTCCTAACTAGAAAGGCTCAAATAAAAGTGCCCAAATTCACAGCATAGGGAAGTTGCAGGACAGATAACAATTACCAGATTTCTGACTTGGGATCTGAATAGTGTTGTATTTATGACTTGGAACGGGATTTTATGGTCTCCACTTACCTTGCTGGTGACAGTGCTGTTGTCAGTGCACATGTGGGCCCTACCAGCCCAGGGGAAGCTGCTGGAGGGTGCTGGACTGCACCGCACTTCATAAAGCTGAGCAATGCCAGGCGGCACCAGCGCTGCTGCCACGGGCTGAGTGTGGCACAAGCTCAGCTCAGGCACACAGCACTTGCCCGTGCCCAAGGGATTGCTGGTCAGCTGGAGTGGTCCAAAATGTGGCAAAGCTGGATATCTGGGGAGAATGGGTATAAAAGAAGGCCAAACTCTTGGATAATTGATACCAAGCAGACAAAGAGAAGGAATTTGATATGGAGAAAAATCAGGTATGTGACGGCCAGGAGAGGCCATTTTGTTAAGAACAGAGGGAAGTAAGTGGAGTCCAGTACAGGCATTGCAAAGCAGGAATTTGGCTCTTTGACATAATCAACTTCCACTGTTTAGAGTACAGCAAATACATAAACTCCCATCTCAGCAAAAAACATGAAGTTGTGCTTTTTATGTCAGCTGATATTTTCCAAGCTGACTGTTATTTTTGAAGGTTAGAAAAAATCTAGGCATTTTTTTCTAAGAACTGAATGACAATTCAGATACTTTATGGAATTACTAGTAACTCAGGAAAACAAGGCAGAAACAGATAGATAATAGATTTTTCTGAATGTTAATTTATTTTGGATTTTTCAGATATTTTGAATTTCACTGGGTTTTTTTTTCCTTTATGATTAAAATAGAGAAAAGATCTAATAATTTTTTTCTTAACACAAACCAAGAAGAACCTCATATTGACAAGACAGAAATTGAATACAGAAGAATTTTCACTGCTCTTTCACTGTCATAAAGTAAAATTTACATAATTTCTTACTTGTTCAGAACCTTCATTACATTGACTGGGAAAAATTCTTTCCCTTACAGAAAGATATACCCATAAGAATGAAAAGTAATGTATCGCATTCCTCTCCACAGATATTACAGACTTTGATCACTTATAATCCCACTCAAGCTATCTGTACTTATGATCTTATGTTATGTTCCAGAGAACGGTGTAAATCATTCTTATCAGCCAAAAACACAAGGTCTGCTGGTTACATTCCAGAAACAAAACCATGCTTTTCTGACAGGTTATAGCCCATGTGCTGTTCCTGGCTTAACAACTGAAAATATTTATTTGCTTGCAAACTACCACATTTTGAGTAACACCCGAAAACATATGCAGCAAGAAGATGGTTAGGACAAATACACCCTGGTAAAGACGGATGCTTGCCTGTCTTTCTCATCTTCCCCTTATCCTCTCTGTGAACCTGCAGTCTTCTTTCTCCTATATTACCCCTAAAATACATAAGAGTGGTTGTTTTCCCATTTTTCTGACTCAGAATGCAAAAGGACTGGCAGGTGGAAGGAGGGCAAGCACATCATAAATGCAGGACCACCACCACCACACCTCTGCATTTCCCATCTCCACTGCTGCTTCCACTCCACCTGGAGTACAGTGTTCTCCTCTGGAGCCCCCAACATAAGAAGCATGTGGACATGCTGGAGTCCAGAAGAGGCCACCCAGATGATCAAAGGGTTAGAACACCATTCCTACAAAGACAGGCTGAAAGAGCTGGGGTTGTTCAGCCCAGAAAAGAGAAGGCTTTCAGTACCTACAAACAACCTTCCAGTAGGTACAAGAAAGTGGAAGAAGAACATTTTCCTAGGGCTTGTGGTGACAGGCCAAAGGGGAGTGGCTTCAAACAAAGAGGGTAGGCATGGATTAGGTATGAGGAAGACATTCTTTGCTCTGAGAGTGGCGAGACACTGGACCAGTTAGCTCAGCAAAGTTGTGAATGCCTCATCCCTTGAAGTGTTCAAGGGCAGGCTGGATGGGGCTCTGAGCAACCTGGTCTAGTGAAAGGTGTCCCTGTACACAGCAGTGGGGTGGAACAAGATGGTCTTTAAGGTTCCTTCCATCCCAAACCACTCTATGATTCTGTGATTCTAGTCAGCAATACAGAAAAGGGAAAAGATTTGCTTGCTAACAGATTATTCCCCTTACACATCCACTTTCAAGTCTTCCAGCCCCAGGCTACAAGCCCCGAAGAGAAAGACAAGGCTGCATAATGAGGGAAGAAGAAAAGATATTACGTTTAATATTTTGAAGCCCTGGGAATGTGGTTACTGCTGCTGCTGCCCTGCTGTGTTTGCCATTTGAGTCAATTATATATCTTTAGTGAAATATATTAATTGCCACACACTTTGGTAAGTGTCTACATACTGAAGAAAAACAATAATAATAATAAATAACAGTATAATATTTATTATAATAAATAAAAATAATATTTCTAGAAGGAACTACATTACATCTACCAGTGATTGACCTCATGTAATAATGAGGAAAGATAACTGGAATTTAAAACATGAAAAAAGTCAAGTGATAGGAAGTTTCTAGGAGAAGTGCAGAATCCATTATATTTTTAACATTCTTTAAGCTATATGATACACTTAAACAAGGAGAAGTATTGTCAGAAGTACTTGAATTTTCCTGTGTCCATTATAGATTTATTTCAATCCCACAGAACACCTAATTAAACCCTTAGCAGCATAAACCATTATTTTTTAAAAATGTGGAAATTAAACTTTTATTTCTGATTATTTGATGAAACAAACCATTAAAAATTCATCAGATGTTCACAAATAAAACGTGCAGCAGACAAATAATATGCCTACCAGTCAAGCTATCTTTGTAGGAATTAAAGAAATCTAAAACTGGCAATATGGGACACTTTTTGGATAACTGTGACAGACAAGAGATCTGGACATTCTTATTCTTTGCAGGAATCACCATTTCCAAATGTAGACTAACAGTTTCTTGCTATCACCATTTCATTACAAATGCAAACATTTTAAACTCACAGATACAAAGTCTATACATTATTTATATGGCTTTAATATGGGATGAAATAATATTTTTCCTATGGTGGAAAAACAGTCGGAATATAATATGTTTAAATAATGTTTATTCAATGGACATGTGTGCAACATGAGAGAAAAGATTTGTCTCTATCTTTGCCATGTTTTGGAAAAATACTTGCATTTGATTGTGGGTTTTTTATGTGGTGTTACCTAACAATCTTTATTAAAATTGCATCCATTCTCATAATTAGACACTTATATTATTTCAGTACTTGTTATGATGATCTGTACTCATTATATTCTTACTTATTCTCCTTCCATGGATGTAAACAGTAAACCATGCTCTGCATCTGCCTTGCAGAGCAGTGAATCATGGTTGTGATATGAACCAGTGGTTGTGTAACAGGTACGTGTTGGTTTCTTATTCACTAAAGACCCAATCTGATCAAGAGTGGAAAGTAAAAATGAACAAACCTTTCTCCCAAACCATCTTTTTGATCTGAACCATTAGAGAAAGAGAAATTCAAGCATTTCAAAGTTGTTCAGGTTCCAAACAAATCGAAATACAAATCTATTTGTATTCTACTGACTGCAAAATTAAGGTAAAAAACCCCAGACATACTGAACAAGAATCTCTAACAGGTAAAAGCAATAAAAGCAATAATAAAATTATTATGACCATTTAGCCATGCCTTGAAGAGACAGAAGGCACCATGAGCTTGCTTTTAGAAAAGTGACTTTCCCAGCTGGAGACTTTAGTGAGATGATTTTTCTAATTTAATTCTAAATGTGTATTTTACAGGCATTTAAATATAAGTAGCCTCCATATGCCTTCTTTACAGTCAATGCAGAAAAAGGGCACTTTCAGGATGTAATTCGTTGGTCCTGTTTTCAGCACCTAGTCTAAAATGAGATTAATTGCAAGCACGTATTTCTCTCGATAGGCAGTACAGGTGTCTAGGTGAGTAAAAAAGTTTAGATGAATTACTGGAGATATCTACACATGGTAAAATGGATCCCATCCTTAGATGCAAAATAATCTGGTTTCACATAAGTCAAATTATAAACCGGGGAGAACATAGTAGAACCCTTGTGTAGTCCTCTAGACAAAAGTCTAATGATCCTGTGTGAGAAAAAGAACTCTCAAATCAATACATGATTTCACAGGAAGAGTGAAATGGAAATTATGAGACAGGTGAATGGCTCACAAGGGCATGAACTTGTATATTTTAACCAAATAGTCTGAGTCACATACTGAGAGACGCCAAAATAAGTAGTCAGGTGCTTAACTCGGCACTTAATTCTGTGCTTGGTAAGACTCCAGAAACAGAGAAAGAGAAAGTTTCTAGAGCTTAGGAAAACACACCTGGACAGTCCCATCAGACTATCAGAAGAGTTAAGCCACCTGATACGAGAGAAAGACTAAAACATACAAAAAAAAATTTAGAGAGGCTCTCATTCATCTTAGCTGCTATTTACTTATACAGCCCCTGACAGAAGAGGAGAGCTCCACATACACCATCCCATAAAAGAAATTACTTACACTGACAGCAACAAGAGTGGTATTAAGAAATAAGGCATTAATGGCTAAGTCATTTTCCAAATCTGTTCATATCTGAATGTAGAATCAAGCCTCCTGCCCAAGCTGAAAAACGCCTGCCTTCTGAAATACAAATGTCAGATAAACAGATTTAAAAAGTATGCAGATTTTGAGTCACCTTGTAATAAGTAGCATTCTCACCTAGCTGGATTTAATTCCTGTCATGATACAAGGGAATTTATGGCTACAGTTGGTCTGATGGCTCACAAATATCAGTGACCTCTTTACCAAAAGCAAAACACTGTATCCCACATAGCAACTGCCTACCATCATAAAAGGGAGAGAGAGGGAAAAATAAAAAACTTCTACTTACATAATTATTTATCCTTAGCAGATGCTTACACCATATTTATCATCAAGTCTTTGCTTGCAAGAAAAATAGGTAATAATAACATGCAATATTTTTTAAACAGAGTTCTTCAAATTCAACAGGAAAGTGTCAAAATTAAAATAGTAGTAAGAATGTCAGCTCTCAAGAGAGGAAAACAAACAAACAATCAAGTGTATTTAAAGAGACATTTCAGAGATTAAAGTTCTCTTAAGGGAAGATAATATTTCCCTATTCTCCCTGCACCCCAAAAGGCTTGGATGAGACCACTTAGATATGTATAACTGCACTCAGAAAACCTTGAATCAATATTTAATATTACACCTTTAATTGAAAACCAACACCATAATAATAATAATAATAAGTGAGCATCAGCACTCTGAACTGCACAGAAAGCAAGTTGTGCAGCCAGGTTGAAAGCTCCTCTACAGGAATTCCCAAGGGAAATCACAGAGGAAGTGTTTACCTCATTTAGAAAAGGGCACGAACAGTGAATCTTTCCTTACTCTCAAGGGACTCCACGGAAAACAATATATCTGACTAAAGAGAATGAGATTTGCATGATGTATTTGGACTCATGTTAACTCCTCTCACAGTGTGGTGTGTCAGCACCTTGTCTGATTCTAAGGGAGCCACATATTGCATATAGAAAGCAAGTTTTGTAACAGCCCAACTGAGGAGAAAAAACTGTAACTGAAAAATTTATTCTCTGCTACAATAAAAATGAGTATGAAGTAACAAACAGGGAAGTGATTTACATCATCCTTTATTCTTTTCATCAGCTGAAGTATAAAACTGACTCCCCATTAACCTCTCACTTCCTCAGCAATTTAATGACTTTCTAAGTATAGAAATGCTCTTTCATTTTTTAAGAATGTCAGTATGAAAGCTTATGGGTTGCAGTTTCGCCCAAAATTATGGCAGTTCACCTCTCCAAAAGTTCCAGCAATTATATTGAAAACGAGAGCCTCCAGGTACCACTGGAGGTGGTGACTTCTAAATTACAAGATGCAAGTGCTCAAAGTGGCCCACTTTATGCTTGCTCCAAGTAAGGCACCCGACGAACAGCTTCTGAGAGGATAAAAATGCACAATTGTTGCAGCTGCAATCGCTCTGCCGGTCAGGCTGATCTATTTATATTTTAGTGGAATCAGCACCGAAATAACTGCTTTTCAGACCGACAAAAACTCCGACTGTCCAAAACTTCAATCCCCTCAACATAACGTCGCTACCCGCTCCTGCGTTTGATGATGTCCAAGCCCTGCCCAGCCAAGTCCCGCGGCGCCTCTCCCTGGGCTCCCCGCGGCAGCAGGGCTGGGGGCAGGAGGGACGCGGGGGGCCGAGCGCTGGCCCGGGGGCAGCTGCCGCTCAGGGCAGCCCCGAGGGACGCGGCCCCGGCGGTCCGGGGCTATTCACGCCCCGCTGCCCCGCCGGGCTCCGCCGAGCCTGCCTCCGCCTTGCCGCCGGCCTCCGGCGGCTCCTTGTCCCCGCGGCCCTCGGACTTCTTGTTAAAGCAGATTTTGAACACCCCCAGGACGGTCATGACCAGGATGATCAGCACCACCACAGCGACCGTCACCAGGATGAAAACGTAGTTGGAAGAGGAGGAGGAGGAGGGCGGCGGAGCAGCCGTCTTCTCTCCGCCGGCGGCGGCCGTGGCGGTGGCGGGCGGCTCCGTGGAACGGCCGGGTGTCGGGATGGAAGGACGCCGCCCCTCCGCCCTGGCACCCGACGATTCCGCGGGGCCACCTGTAGCGGTGGGGGCCGGCCCCGTGCCCGGGCAGGGAGTTCCGTCGGGGCCGCCCGGGATGCGGGCACAGGCGAAACTGCCGGCGGCATCGCGGCACCCGGCGGCCTGGGCGCACCGCCCGCTGTCGGGGCTCCTGCGGCCGAAGGGGCAGGGGCAGAGGGGCTTCTCTGCCGCCTTCCAGGCGAAGCCGCCCGGCTCGGGCTGGCAGGTGAGCCGCACCTCCCCGCCGGGACACGCCACGGTCAGCACGGTGCCCGGCGGGCTGAAGCCGGGGCCGCCGCTGCGCTCCTCGAAGGGGAGCCGGTATTCGAGGTCGAGGGCGCCCGCGGGACTGAGGTCGGGGCAGGCACCCTCGTACTGGTACTTGCAGAGGTAGCCGGGGCTTTTCAGCTGGCAGCGCCGCTCCTTCCAGCCCCATGGGGGGTCAGCCGCCAGTTGCAGCCCAGCGCAGCGGGCCGTGAGGCAGGACGGCTGCGGCTCCTGCAGCCACCGGCCGAGCGCCGCCGGCACCTCCTGCGGGGCCGTCCCACCCCCGACGCCCTCCCAGGAGAAGCCGCGGAGCGGCTGCTCGTTGTGGGTGCAGGCGGAGGCGCTCCTCTTCAGCCCGACCCAGAAGAACGGGGGCGCGGGCGCCGCCGCCTTTGCCAGCATGTCCAGCACCAGGCGCAGCTCCGGCTCGCCGCTGACCCAGGCGAGGCTGCCCCGCCGCTGGTCGCAGGCGCCGCGGGCCTCGGCGTACGAGACATTGGCGAGGTGGGCGCTGAAGCAGGCGCCGGCGGACAGGCAGCGCACGGCGGCCCGCGGGGTCCGGCCCAGGGCGCAGGCCGCAGCCAGGAGCAGGCACCAGGGCCCGGCCCGCCTCATGCCGGCGGGCTGAGGGGCGCCGGCTGCCCCGGCGTTCGGCCCCGGCTGGGACTGGCCTCTGCTGCCCGCGCCGTCCCTCTCCAGCGCCGGCCCCGCTCCCATGGCCCTCCCCCGGACCTGCCGGAGGAAACGTGTCGGGAGCCGTGGCTGACCTCGGCATCCTCCGTTTGTTGGAGGGCCCAGGACAAGCAGCTCCCGGCGCCGCCAGGAAGCGCTCGCCCAGCCCGGCGGGCGGGTGTCCAGCCGCCGGGTAGGACGCTGCCTTCTCCGCTGTCCGAGGGACAGGAGGGTGGCGAAGCCCTGAGCCGCGGCTGTCGGACCGAGGTCACGGGCCCTGTTCAGGGTTGTGTTCCCAAGATACCCGGGCCATCTTGCTAGATTGTTGCACAGCGCTTTCTGGAGAAAAGCGGTCCAGCTTCAGTTATCTCTTCCTTGAAGGATGTAGGTTTCTTGGTTAGGTGAAGCTGTGCAATCAACCCCGTAGCTCCCGAACCAGGGGGCCATTTAACAGTCACAAAATTTGAGTCAGCTCTCGGTTTTCCAGCAGGCTGGCGTAAATGCATCATGCCTCAGGTGCCTGCATTGATTTCAGTAGTTGTTCCTGAATGAGCTTCACTGATCCACTGAACTGTTCTTCCTCCAAATGTAGTCTTCATGTTTCATACTCCTTACTGTTATTTCTGTGTGCTGTTGCCTGACATGTACATTCAGATGCAGTGTGCATCTGAGCGTCTTCCCAGGTATTTTATGTGGCATGGAACTGCAGGCATATCTGTGCATTTTGTTTTCCAGCTTTTACTTTGGAAAAACTCATGTCAATGTTTTTGGTTTTGTGAATAAGACATAACACAAATTTCTAGTATTTGAATACCATGGCGGGGGGGAAGGAAAAAGCAAAAAGTCAATAATTGATCTGGAGTCTTTAAAATATAAGGTTTCTCAGTAATTGCAGTCCATTTAGGTGCCAGTAGTCTTGGTTTTATGGAAAATAGGTTTTCATAACAAAATAAGAACTTGTTGATTTAATTCTACATGAAATTGGATTTTTGGTCAATCAAGGTGTCGAGATGCTAACAGCCACCTAAGTCAAGTTTACAGTGTTGTAGCAGTTGTGTATTCAGAGCTTTGCTGCTTACTGGAATTGTAACTCTTGCATTCATTCTTCTCCATGGTGCACCAGGGCAGAGGCATCGAGCTATTTGCCTGTGTGGGTCAGCACATGGAGATTCTTACTGCCTGCCTAGATTTTAAGCCAGAAAGATGCAATTCATTTTGCATCAGGAAACTTTATCGCCTGCTATTCACATCCCTAGTTCTTCACTGGATCTAGCTTGAAATGTACCCAAACTAATTGAATTGTTCCTTGAGCCCCTTGTTTTTCTTGATGATGTACAAAAGCTGTGCTTCTGCACATACCTGTTAAGTTTGTATCTTGAGTCTTTTCCCCAAATCTGGTTGATAGGTTTGAGAGAGAAGAGAGTTTGCTGCAGCTTTACAATCGCCATCTTACTGGGGAATGCCTACAAGGCTTTGCCTAATATTCCACTGCAATCCTACAGCTTTGCTTTGTTTTCTCTTTCAAAACGGAGTTCATTTAGTATAGCCAAACAGAAGCTAAACTTTATAAATAGAAGGAATAATGTAGAAGCCCCAAAATTTTCATGTTATTCTTCAAACCTAGGACTCTGTCACAGAGGGGGAGAATGCAGCTCAATCTTGCGTCTCTTCTCAGCTCTCAGCCAAGAGCATGATTTGAGCTGTCTGGGCTGGCCTCTACCAGGTAATTGGTGGCTATTACAAGCTCATTTCACTTTAATGACTTTAATTTCCTGGGCTATATATGAACCAGCAAAATGGCAAACCAGTTTAGAAACAATAGGTTAGCCACCAGTGCCCTGGGCAGTCCAGTCTCATTGGAGGAACTTGTACTGCACAGAAAGATGAAAACACCATATTGCCAAAGCTGAAGCTTTTTGCCAGCGGAAAATAGAGGCAGTGGCTGCACATCTACTCGACCTGCCTGTATATCTGCTCTCTTCTCCTGTTGCTGCCCCTGAATGTCCTGCAAAATATTTTAAAAATAACAGGTCTGGTGGATCTCCAGAAAACAGCTCTTCTGGTCTGTTTTATTCTTTCTCATTCTTACATTTAGTTAAATAAGAAATCACTCTTCATGGGGCTTTTTCTGGAGAAGTCCTCTTTTGAAAGAGAGGACTAGCTACTCCCACACACATGTGAGGCAACTAAGCTGCTACATATAAAGAAGGTTTTATTACACAAACATGAACGTTACAGATGGTGGATGTATAAGCTGTATTGTAGCTGTTGCTTTCAATAGTTAAAGCCTTATTTAGATGTAGTCATTCTTTAGTCTTTTTCCTGTAAGATCTTAGCCCCTGAAAAAAACGGTGGTTTGCTTTAATCGTATTTTAATAACAGCCATTATGTTTTATTTTTATTTCATTATGTAACTTTATCTATCTTATAACAACACATACATTTTTACTAAGGAGCTGTGTGAGAAGTCCTGAATTAATAAAATTACTTTCCTCTTTTAGGATGGATTCCTTTTGTATTTTTATAAGGTAAATTACAACTATTCTTTTTGCAACTAACCAGGAAATATGTTATCTGTATATCAGTACATACTTTGCTACTGCTAGGGCCTAAGGGGCTGTGTTTTCATTAGAAGTAGTCTTGTTGAGGGATACAGTATCCAGATCTTGCTAAGAGCCATGTTTTACTTCTCAGAGGTAGATGGATGGTGCAGTGTGGATGCCTTGCTTTCACGGGGACAAGTGAAATGATTGTGTCACACTGAAATGTGTAGAGCATAAGGACAGTAAATTTCTCTTCCCCAAAGGGAATACAGGAAAATGTCTGGAAATATATCTGTCTACCTCTTATGCAACAGAACCTGGAGACAATATCTAATATCAGAAGCAACTATCTTTTCTGCTAGTGGAAAGGGGGGCTGCTGAGGCTCACCTCCATTTATCACCTGGTTTGTTGCATGATACAGATTTGTTTGGGGCTGGAAACTATGGACAGGGAGCAAGGAATGAAGATCACTGTTCTGGGAGCACTGCCTGTTTGCATGGCTTCAGCCTTTTCATTTGCTGCAGCCTTGCAGAGTCTACGCCATTTATCTGTGGTCAGGTTGTGCAGTCCCTACAAGCTCTCTCCTTCCCTCTGATCCCAACTAGTATCTCTACTGGATCCAGACATCCTTCTGCTGAATTTGTTGTGGGTAAAGTCAAAATTTACTTCCCATCTTTCCGTGTTCTGCTAAGATATAGGTTATAATTTAAATAACCTAATGTAAACAGGTATTTTAAATAAGTGAAAATTGCTGTCACTTGGAAGTGTGCCTCAAAAATTGTGTTAAATCCTCCTTTGATCACTAAGTGCTCCATGAAACAATATCTGTATCATATAAAAACATATGTAGTATATTATGGTATAATATAAAAATGTATATATATAAATATATATGGTTTATCAAATAAGGCAGCCCTACATTTCACATGTAACTTGTGCTTAGGCAAAATATTTTCTTGTGAAACAGTTACATTATTCTTTAAGAAGATGCTTTCGTTTTAAAAATAAGACCATCTTGAAGTCAATGAGAACCAACTTATTTCAACAGTGGGACAAGATTTCTCGTTAAGTTCTCTGCATTCAGTCAAACTTGCAACAAGGAGTAAAAATGCCAGGTGGAATCCAGCATCCTTTCATTACTTTTCCAGAGAACAGGATAGGAAATTAAAATAAGAATTTCTGCCTTATTGTAACAAATTGCACGATCGTAAGAATTTAATTATTCATCTCTCAAAAGGACTTTGTAGATTACAAGGTTCACGTACAGAATTTGGAAAAGACAACCCAGCAGGGGTCATGCAAGTCCCTGTCTACTGTAATAATAATTTCCAGTGACATTATCACAGAGCTGTGGGACTTAATAACAAGGAATGATATTTAAGTGCTGGTATGAACACAGTGTTATATCTATTACGTTTATGACATAGACATAAAATATAACTAATCCTGACCTGCTAAGGGGACATTTAGTAGATGCATTGATGTGGCTGTAGCATTACCCTGTATGCATATGTTCCCCTTAAAGCCTGTTCAGCTTATATGTTCTTGTTTCCATTGCTAAGTATGCAAGGAAAAATGTATTCTAAGTAAAAAGTATTACTACTTCCACTCGTCTTTAATGACTTATTAAGGAAGATTCCATTCTGTAATTAGCTAGGGGAAATGAACTCCAGAACTCTCAAACACACTAAATCTTGTCCAAAAATTATGTAGAGTATAAATATTTTTTATTCTCACTCTAGCTTACTCTCTTCCTTTTGTTGACTGGATAATTTGTACTAGTTCCATCCCAGCCTTCAAATTCTTCACATTTCCTGTATCATGTAGCACAGTCTGGCCCCACATGAGCTTTGTGCTGAGTATGCTATGGCGTGAGGGGGTCATCAACAACTGGGGTTGGGTATGGCCATATGGTCTATTTTGCCATAAAAAATGGCAGAAATAGTAAAACCACGAAGGGAAGGGGAGAGGAGGGGAGGGGAGGGGAGGGGAGGGGAGGGGAATCAGCACAGGGGAAGTTAAAGGAATAGAGGGCTGTAGCACAGGAAAAAAAACAGACCACCAGTAGGCAGGAAAATAAGGCATATACACACACAAAAAAAAAAGTGAATAGGGTTGAAATCAAAAGAAAAGAGAGAAGTGAGATCATTCACCAGTGCTGAAGTACCAGAGTGGTAGAGGGAGCCAAGGGGCACCGGTGTGTGAGCTGGTGCTGCTGCCCACGGGTGTGTTTGCACAGCTGGGCAGCCCCCACAGCAGCCTGGTGCCACGTGCTGCAAGGCTGTGGGCAAAGAGCAAAGGACAGTCACAACCAAAGAGGAGTTACCACATAAAGTCAGCATGTGGATGTTCAAGCATATCCTTTTAGGCAGCTGCAAGAGACACACTGTGTCCTGAGGGATGTTTGTGGCCTTGAAGCTACTTTGTGGCTCAAAGGCCACCCTTATAAAGCATTATTGTGATAAGTTCAACAC